TGATAACTACCCTCTTCCGCGTATACAGGATCAAGTTGATGCTTTGGCAAAAGCCGCATATTTCTGCACACTGGATATGAAGTCAGGATTCCATCAGGTGGAAATCGAAGAAAGTTCCAAGTACGTCACCGCTTTTGTGACTCCTGATGGTCTATACGAGTACAATCGACTACCGTTTGGATTTGTCAACTCACCGGCGTGCTACCAACGTGCCATAGACAAAGCACTCGGGAAACTGAAAGACAATATCGCATTTGTTTATATTGACGACGTGCTTTGCCCATCACAAACTATCCCAGAAGGTATCGAGCGTCTGCGAGAAGTTATAAACACTTTATCGAAGGCCGGGTTCGTTCTGAATGTCTCGAAGTGTAGCTTTTTCAAAACATGTGTTGAATACTTAGGCGTGATGATCGAGAGTGGCACAGTGAGACCTAGCCCCCGAAAGGTCAACGCTCTCGCTCAAACTGTTGCACCGACGGATATCAAGGGTGTACGGCAACTGTTAGGCCTAGCTGGATATTTTCGAAGATTTATTCGAAATTTCGCCTGCTTAACAGCACCGATATCCTCTCTGCTGAGGAAAGGACAGCCGTTCATATGGACACCTGAGTGCGAAAATGTACGTCTAGATTTAATTCAAAAACTGACGGAATACCCTATATTGAACATTTTCAACCCAGAGGCCGAAACAGAGTTACATACAGATGCAAGTGCACTTGGCCTTGGCGCAATGCTGATGCAAAAAAGTTCAGACAATTTACCCCACCCTGTAGCTTACTTCAGTCGACGTACAACCGAGTGTGAATCACGTTATCACTCGTATGATTTAGAGACATTGGCCATTGTCGAAGCCACCCATTATTTTCGTGTTTATCTGTATGGCATAAAATTCACGATATTCACGGATTGCAATTCTGTACGAGCCACAGCTTTAAAGAAAGAACTACATCCTCGGGTAGCAAGGTGGTGGATTAAATTGCAAGATTTTAACTTCGATATTGAGTACAGACCAGGATCAAAAATGGGGCATGTCGATTATCTCAGCCGTAATTTGCCACCTCACAGAGTTCTGGTAACAAATACCACCAAAACAGACAAACCACGAAAATCTATTCGCGAATATCAAACAGATGACGCAATATGTCAAAGTGTGAAGAACAAAACATGTTCTGAACCTGGATACAGCATGAGAGACAATATCGTGTATTTTTGTAATCCGAACGATAAACGTGATCGTTGTTATGTTCCGGTAGCCGCGCGATTAGACATTTTGCGAATGTATCATGACGAATCATCACACATTGGTGCGGACAAAATGTTAACAAAACTCCGTGAAGAACTAATCTGGCCGCGAATGGGTAAAACGGTTCGCAAATACGTAGCGAATTGTCGTTCTTGCGTACTAGGAAAGTCACCTAGCGGTAAGAAAAAAGGCCTATGTCAACAAAACGCTAAACCATCATATAAGATGCATACGTGGCACATTGATCATGCCGGACCACTGGTAAAGTCGAATAAATGCACGCAGATATTGGTGATCATCGATGCTTTTTCAAAATACGTGCGGTTTTGTCCGATCAAGCAGAAAACGACAGACTGTAGTATAAAAGCACTTGAAGGTGTGTTTTCTGTGCTGGGAACACCGAAACGTATAATAGCAGACAGAGGGACCGCCTTTCAGTCAGGAAAATTCAAGGAATTCCTGGCAGAGCGAGACGTAGAACTCCACTTGATTGCCACAGGGGTTCCCCGTGGTAACGGGCAAGTAGAACGAGTTATGCGTTCCCTTTTCAATGCTATGCGAGCGGTTCTGAATGAGAAGGATGAAAAAAAATGGACACAAGTACTTCCCGCCATAGAAGACGACTTCAATGTGACAGTTAATAAATCAACTGGGTATTCCCCGAACGCCCTGATGTTCGGTGAAACCAAAAGATTAAGGGCCGCGGATCAGCTGTTAGCAGGTACCAATGCCTATACGGAGGTCGTCGATGCAGATCATGTACAGGAAGAAGTAAACAAACGCTTGGAAAAGATAACAGAAAAGGCAGCATACACGTTCAATAAGAACAGAGTTATCGCAGTGCCGTACAAAGAAGGTGATAAAGTGGCTATTCAGAATAGTCAATTATCTTTAGGAGGGAAGCTAAAACCAAAGTTCCAAGGCCCGTTCGAGGTAATACATTGCCTACCTAACGAAAGGTATGCATTACGACGTGTGGGCGGGCGCGGTAGGACGACTGTCGCCGCACACGAGCAATTAAGAACTTGGCCACAGTAAAGGTAAATTAAAAAAAAAAAAATATAATCATCGTATGGTCACTCAAGTTGAGAAGGCAAATATAAACCTGTAGAATAGATCCCCCAACTATGGAGTTGAGGCAAACAACAAATATAACTGTTAAACAAGGTTCCTGGTATCAACTTCAACACGAATGCAATGTTGGTTGAAATTGATAACTGGCTTATATAGAGGTCCCTGCTTGTAGGCTGTTTGTCGAGCTGTTTGTTTTGCTTTTTTAAGGTCCCTGGTTCACCAGGCTATGTTAAAAGGTCCCTGTTAGGACAGGCTATGTTTAAAGGTCCCTGTTTAAGACAGGCTATGCTTGAAGGTCCCTGCTAAGACAGGCTATGTTTGAAGGTCCCTGTTTAAGACAGGCTATGCTTAAAGGTCCCTGCTAAGACAGGCTATGTTTAAAGGTCCCTGCTCAGACAGGCTATATTTGAAGGCATTTAAGATATCCTCCACTCAGGTTTGGGCATAGGGGCAGAGTAAAAGTCCGTGCTATGACAGGCAATGAATCAAGATCCCCAAACCTCTGCATGAATATGAGCTGTATGAAATAAAAAAAAAAAAAAAAAAAAAATTGAATTTGGCTTCAAATCGAAAATTTTGGGGTTTTGTTTAGGCTCAACTCCTCAGAAGTTGTTATGGCAGAAATTCAGAATGTTATTCGGATGTGATTTTGCAAACCAGTAAAACAATAAAATCACAATGAATTGATGTATGTGCTCTCAGGAACAAATTAGTGCTCTCAAATGTTTACAGATTTTCGCCTGTATGTGAATCTGGCTGAATTGTTGAAGGTGCGTGGACGCCCCTTACGTCAGGAAGGCCGTGTTAGCCCCCTCGCACCCGACACTGACTCCGTCTGGGTGATGTAGTCGTTCATCCACCGAGGAACTAGAGATCTGTGTTTATATTATGGGATTTGTTTATATTACAACATTCTTCCTCGAGAGAACCGAAGCCAGCCGGCCAGTCTGTATCGATATTTCATATAGGATACAATTTATTGAAGTAATCGGAATCAATAAATGAGTTTTTCCCGAATTTGTACAGTATTTTCTTCAATTATCAAACAAAAAGCTAACATAACTAACTATAGATATATATACCCAGACAGCACCAGATATTCCATGAATTTTCCTATCATATTTCTTTCGGAATATTGGAATATTCTAGAAATAATCTGGAATATTCCGGAATATCTGTGGAATATTCTCTAAATATGCGAATGGGAATTCCTCAGATAATCATAGAATATACCCAAATGAATATTCTATGTTGAATGTTCCTGGAATATTCCAATAAACATATTCTGAAATAAAAAAAGTGACCCAAGTAGGGATCGAACTCGTGACCTCAAAACTATCAGACCAACGCCTTGACCACTAGGCCAGTAATCGAATTGAATAATTGTATACATATCAAGTTCTTGTGAGAGCATTGTTCGAAATCGGATCATAAACACTTTTTGTTTCAAAATCTCCTTACATCTAATTGATGTTCGATACTCACATCTCTGAAATAATAAATGGTATTTATTTGTTGAGAAACATAGGAATATTCATGGAATATTTCATGAATATACACCACAGAATATTCAGTTGAGAATATTTCATGAATATACCGCACAGAATATTCAGTTGGGTATATTTCATTAATATACCCCACAGAATATTCAGTTGGGTATATTTCATAAATATACAACAGAGAATATTCAGTTGGGAATATTCCTGGAAGATTCATACCTGAATATTCCCTGAACATGTCCGACTATCCACTTTGGAATATTCCTTTTAGATGTTCCAGAGGCATGTATATATTCTAGGAATAATCGATGAATATTCGGAATATACTCCTCCTTTTTAGCATATTCAGAGAATATTCTATGAATATCTAGTGCTGTCTGGGTAGGTAAACAATTATTATTATTCAAGATGTTTTGGTTCTCGACCACTTTGGTGCCGGTTGGTTAACCCTACCTACCTATAGTTTTCACACAAGCGTGAAAGCGTGGAAATGGTGAGAAAAATTGTCCTTCATTGAATATATAAGTAGGTAGGTACAATCGTCTTCAGTGAACATGTCGCGGTAGGACGGTATAAGCGCTCTTATTGCAGCGGTGATTAAGGGAGCTGACACCGTCCATGTGCGACATGTTCTCTCAAGACGACTGTACCTACCTATATAAGTATATATCTGCCTAACAACAGTTACCTACGACATGACTATATTTAGATACATACAGCATGATTGTACGCAAAGATTATGTACCAATATACTCTGATACTGAACGAAATGATCAGGGAATCCAACTTCATTCCCCCAAGTTCATATTTTACAATAATACACTGCCTGAACGCTGAATGTGATTGTGAATTGTGAATATACCAGTATACCTACTTCGTATAAACGTCATCCAACGAACCGCTGTAGCAACAACAAGCGCATGCGTGTGTCGCCTTGCGATAGGAAGGTTTCTCACTTCTCGGTGTATATTTGCTCTGTTAGTAGGTACAGAAATGTAAAAGTTCCGCTACAAGTTGTGGGGCATTTCGTACAATGAACCTATTACGTTTAAAACAATACATCCGAACGTACCACCACTGAAAATCTGGAACAATAGGTACCACTATCTACCTAGTTGTTCTGAAAAACCTACAAACGAGATACCTACCCAGTGAAACAAGCAGAGCCCGAGTTTATTTTGAGTGTAGTGAAATCTGTTTACGACGGTTTGCGAGTAGTGGGTAGGTAGATAATTTCAATGACAATAAATATTGTGGTTCGGTAGACCTCAGAAAGTGATACATATGATATTGATTCAACCCAACAATAATTGTCGAGCTGTTTGTTATTTGTGCCAGGTTGTTTCCAAACCAATTGGTCCTCGTATTGGTCAAGATGCAACAAGCTGTTGTAACCAATCTGAGCAGGTGAATAAATGTTTACTATTATACCTTCATTATTAATAATTCATATAGTTATGGTAGACTTCATTATTTGATAATAATTGTTATATTTATCATCATCGTTATTTAAATATCGACAGTGGATGATAAAGTCTTCATAGGTTTTGACTCGGGTTTTGATACGTTATTTGATAGTTTGATCCGAGGGAAGATCTATTCAAAATTAGGTGAACTCGGTGAAACCAATGCCATCTGTAACTCCAAGATTCCATGAACTCATTTTATGCCAAGAGAATGTTCTCAGGTTCCTACGAGGTTGTTAATCTGATTACTTATTACAGTCGAGCTTACATTCTGAGACGAGTCAGGATATCGAGAGCACTTGAAATTGTTGCATTATATCATGATGATACCTATTTAACTACCTAGAGGAACTTGAAATCGATATTTTACTCCGCTTTGTCTTCCTTATTAATTGCATTGTTTTTCACATGTGTAAATTATTCCTCCAACCCGAGCCCCAACCAGATTTCCAAACTTATTTCAGATACACTCGGTACCGAGCTCGGTACCTATCTGATATCTGATGGATATCATGCAATTTAGACCGCTTTCGGCAAGGACAAGTATTCCTATCAAGGTATCAAATGGGCTTTACATCTAATCAATAATCATGTTAGTTACGGTTGTCTATGTTTGCGATAGTGTTTAAATTAATAAATAAATAAGAATATCCAAATAGAAAAATCATAGATTCATACGCCTTGGCCAACTATAACTCTGAACGCATTTTGGAATATAATCGTTAATCAATTTCTCATCCAGCATATCCAGTTCGTATAATATGTACTAGCTAAATAGGAGGACGAATACTGGTAAATACTCAGGTAAATAAGTCTACCTATATATTCACCCAATCTTTCACCTGTATACCTGTGTGTTTGTTTGTTGTGAATTTATTTGTTTCAATAAGGCATAATTATTATGAGACGTCCAGGGAGTCGATTACTCGGTCGATAATAATTTTCGATTTCGTATTTTGTTATAATCCTATGATATCGTTGAATTTGTATTGATCCCTGACCAAACTTGGAATAATTCATCATTAGCCCCCCACGAGGAGGCGACCACTCTCTGCAATACGTGTACATTTGGTCTGAAATCACTTGCAATCGTCACTGAAATCCCCTGAAATCCCGCAGTCAATTTGCAATCGCCGAAATCCTTTACTGCAATCCCGCAATCCCGCAATCGCTTTCGCAATCGCTTCCGCAATCGCGGAATTCATCGAATTCAATGATGGAGGGGATACGGCCATTTGCGGTAAACCAACGAAGGTATATTATATTTTATGTTGTTTTTCGGTTATACGTTAATCTTTGAAGAATCTCTTGTGTAGTTTGAGTTTTGTGTGAAAAGATCGATATTATGTTGGTTCTTCGCTGACAAAAAAGGGAAACTATCATCTGACAGAAAAATTCGTTGTAGAGGTATGTCAACACGAAGTCAAAATCTTGGTCAAATGAATAATTCCACTTCTTCTGCCACAAAGAAAAAACAGAACAAAAAACCGTCAAAAAAATCGACAAATCATCATGTTGAGGAAACCTCGGATAGTGAAAGTGACGTATGCTATTCTGAGAAATCAGAATTTGAAAATGAAAGTTTTTCGGAGGAAGAATCAAATGGAGAGAAAGAAACGTCAATATGCATCAGAGATTCATCAAGTCAAGTAGCTTGATATTTTAACAAACTACTTGACTTGACTTGAAAATCAAGCTCGTGGCAAATTACGTACTTGACTTGACTTGAATTTGAGATATTTATTACTTGACTTGAAATCAAGCTACTTGATAATACTTGATCTTGATACGCACGAGTCGCACGGCGTATATTTCTGCAAGCTCGCTCACGCTTAGACACAATACGGGGGTTCCCCGAGATCCGAGTTGACTGAATCGATCGCGCAGTCAGTCTTACGATGCCATTTTCATTTCATCAGTTATATACAGGGTGACTCACGGTCAATGGTAGGTTAGACGTTCACGTTTATGATAGGAACTAGGAACGCAACGCAGGATTTTTCTGAAAATTTCGCATCTCACATTTCATCACCGGTACTATCGATCTAATATATTTTCAAAATCACGACGTTGCTGCTTCTATAGAAAAGTAGGAACCACTTTGTTATTTCGAATTGAACACCCTGTATTTTATTGCATTTTCAGATTCTCCTTGAAGAGTTGATTCCATCGATACATCACACTCGGGGTATAGCGGAAAAGATTATTGGAGATATAGAGTGCAAAAAATCGAGATTTTTCAACTTCAGGAATTTTTTGTGTATGCGAAATTTTCAGAAAAATCCCGCGTTGCGTTCTCCATAAACGTCTAACCTATAACATCGACCGTGAGTCACGGTGTATAGATACACAATAAAACTGCTGAAAATCAAGTAGCTTGATAGAACTACTTGATTTTTCAAGTACTTGATAAATAATTACTTGACTTGACTTGACATTAAAAAACTTTTGCTTGACTTGAACTTGACTTGATTTCAAGTCAAGTCAAGTCAAGTAGCTTGAATATCAAGTCAAGCCGTGAATCTCTGATATGCATTGAAAAGTTTTATGCAGCTATTTATGACACCTGGTATATTGGACGTATTTTAGAGATCCTCGAAAATGATACCTTTAGAATTAAGTTTTTGAAATCGGAGCTGGATATGTATACAGGCTGGTCCACGGTGGATGGCCTATTAGAAGTATCTGGAGAACGAAAAGACAGAACATTCTGAAAATTGAGATGCTTTGATAATTGAACATTCTCTGTCCGTCTAAAATATTTTCATCGATACAGTGTTGCCACTTCTATCAGAAACAACTAGCAACTTCGTTATTTTGAATAAACCACCCTGTATTTTATTGAATTTTTAGATTCTCCTTGAAAAGCTGATTTCATCGATGTATCACACTTAGGGTCTAGCCACAGACGGCTGTGGTCTAGCAGGTATGATTCCAGAGATATAGGGTAGTGTTCATAATCGAGATTTTTCAATTTCAGGATTTTTTTGTGTCGAGAGTATTCATCATTGATCAAAACGGTTTACATGTCCCTATCTTAACTTTCGATTCACTATCTACTGACATTTAATTGGAACAGATACAGGGTGATCAGAATTCTGAATCTTGGAGCACCCTGTATTTTTTTCAATCAAATTCCAGTAGATAGTCAATCAGAAGTTAAAATAGGGACATGTAAGCCGTTTTGATCGATAATGAATAGTTTCGACACAAAAAAATCTTAAAATTGAAAAATCTCGATTTTGAACACCTTATATCTCTGGAATGATTCCTGCTAGACCCCAAGTGTGATACATCGATGAAATCAGCTCTTTATAAAGAATCTTAAAATGCAATAAAATACAGGGTGTTCCATTTGAAATAACAAAGTTGCTAGTTGTTTCTGATAGAAGTGGCAACACTGTATCGATGAAAATATTTCAGATGGATAGAGAATGTTCAATTATTATCGAAGAATCGCAATTTTCAGAATGTTCTGTCTTTTCCTTCTCCAGATACTTCTAATAGGACATCCACCGTGGATCACCCTGTATATGGCCTAATAAGGAAGATATCCAAGTTGTAGAAAAAAAGTACATATTGTATGGGCCAATCGACTTAGTCGGTAATGGACCTTTCCGCCTCAAAAGAAATGATATAATGAATATTGAGAAAAAATACAAAGATTCAATGAAACAGTCAATTGGCTAACATGAATGCCAGTATAATTATGCTATGTTCACTTTTATAAAATGAAAAACACCAGAGTTGAAAGAATAATAAAAATATTTCTATGAGACAAAATGGTTTTTCAATAATTCCAAATTTTCTTCAATAATTATGTTTATACTTTATTTGGTTGTATAATCCGTCATGCTTGAATAATTAGGTAGATGCTCTACAATTCGAAAGGATTACCTATGTGGTAATTGAACTAAATCACATAAATAAACTCTAATATCAGAAATTCACCATTGCAATCAAGCTAGCAAATGAACCCACAATCGCGGAAATCGTCTCGCGATCCTCAATATAATTTCACAATCCCATTGCAGCCCCTGCAATCACTCTGCAATCACTGAATTCAGTTCGCAATCCTCCGAAATCGCAACAATTTACAAAGAATTCTCTGAAATCGCTGAAATCATGGGATTTTCGCAATACGTGTACATATTTTTCAGAGGTGGTCTCCCCCTCGGCCCCCCATATATACTGATGCAGATTCAGGCTAAGATTCGGAAAAAAATGCCCTACGAAAAATATCATCAATGTGTTTGGGAATCTCATGAAAACCCCGAGGATTATATCCTACACAATTTCAGAACATCGCACTGAAAATGTTACTCCCAAAGTTTGTAGGACAATTCGACCATGTGATTACAGAAATATATATTTATCGAGCAATCCTCAGAAAATCCGCTGGTTGTTAATTTGGTAATGAATAAGTCGTTATTTCAAACATTTTTCGACAGGTCTATCCAAGGGGTTATTCCTCGGGTTATTCCGAGGGTTATTTGGACGATGGGAAACAGTGATAATAGATCTCAAGTAAAATATTGACGCAATTATAGGCGTAGAATATCCCCCAATCAGATATTATGAATAAATAATTCACTGTGTATATATTATAATATCGACCGAGATATCGACACATCAAATTTCCAAGGACATTCAATTTTTTCTTATTGTTTATTGATTATTTGTCGAGTTACACAAACCAACCAATCATGTCAACGTAGGAAGGAAAATTTCCAAGTCGTCTCCACGATTTTTGATGACGAAATGCGAGACGAAATGTTAAATGAAGGGTGGGACACTCGGTGGGACATGTTTCGGGCCTATCATAAGCCCATCATCAGCCAAATATATTTAAAATCCTACAACATTACTTAGAGCTAGTGAAATTGTTCAAGGTAAGGTTATATGTACTTACGAGTGTACTTACATGGATAGAAAACGTAA